CTACAGCAGTAGGAGATTTGGTTGCTCGGTTGTCACGTGCGGCGAGGGTGTGTGTATCTAGCCATCGCACAAAAAAGGACCACGTCGGCTCCCTAGCAATGTACGAATGGCCTGGACTGCCAATAAACCGCGCTCTGATTGGGAGAGGCGTCGTAGATCTCGGAGACGCGACTTTCTGCCCTCGCTAGCGCTGCGAGACGTCCGCCCCGAGAGCGCCCGGCACGGCGGGAGGGCCCTCGCAACTCAGGGCTATCGGTAGATGCAAGCCTCTCCGAGAGGCGAGGTCCAGGGGCGGAGAAACCCCAATTAACGGCCCCGGAGCCACGAGAGAATCAGGATTGCGACCTCTTGCACCCTCAGCCCGCAGGAACTTCGTCTCAAAGTCTACATCTATACAGATGTTCGTGTGGTTAGCACCAGCTGGCATCGCTGATACAAATTCAGTGTGTAGGCTGTTCAAAATAAGCCCAGTATCCAGCCAGCTTTTTTCTCCCTTCGACTGTTTTATTATCTCGAACTGGTAGTCTTTCTTTTAGTGTATATAAGACAAAAATACGTATTTGTGAATCCTTGTCCAGAATCTCAAGATCTTTTTTTGGGCAGTGTGACCATATACCAACGTCAGTGTCATACACCATGCCAAGAAGCAGGTACACACGTCAGCATTGATCATGTGTGAACAGCTGCAGCAGCTGCAGCCATTAAGCAGAAAAATATAGTTTCCAGCAGTCGAGCCATGTCGTGGCGGTGTCAGCAGAGGTGTAGAGCAACGCAGACTGTGCAGACCGCCGAGCCTCAGGTTGGGACTGACGTTGGCATTGCGGAATACATATGCATACACCACATACATATACATGCGTGCGGCATGCGGGTTTTCAACCTAGAAATCCAGACAAATTATAGACAACGCCTCAGCAACCTTAATAGGCATGGGGCAATGGCGATTTGACATCACAGCCGGCCGATTGTACGGAAGATCATCAGGACACTGGTGTGGCAGTTAGCTCTCTGGGTGTAGCGAGTTTTAGGTGCAGAGGCGCCGAGATGGGTGAGCTCTAGGTGCGAGGGTCGGGTGCCCTCAGGAGATCTGAATGTGGGCGAAGCATACAAATTGTTCACGGGGTGTTGTTGCAGCCAACTTCCTACAGAACGATCTTTATCGAAAACAAGCTTGCTCCGAGCTCGCATAGCGCAAACCCTCTTGAGAGTAGTTCACCAATATGCATACAACATATGTTTTCCCTCTGCTTTGTTGCATGTTTTTGCATCACCCAATTTGCCGCGGTGCACTCTTTACCCTGCTCCGGCGCTCGGCGCTTGGTGATGTGAGAGCCTGGTCCGGTGAGAACCCGGCGTGCTCCGTCCCGGCTTCGTAGGGATGCGAGGTCAATCATCTAATACTAACGACATGCACGGCTATGAGTACACCCCCCACCCACCTTGTAGGCTTCCACCTGGTGGGACGAAGTCAGGTGGGGCCAAGGACGGGAAGAGCGACAGCACGTGGTCGACCGGCGTCTCGGCGACGAGGAAGTGCCCGACCGCGCCCTCGTAGTCACCCCATGAGAAGAGGTCGTACGCGTAGCGCTCGTGGATGCTCAGGACGTTTACCGACCCTAGCACCGACATGTCCTGTGGGAGTGGAGACGGGAAGAAGAAGGCGAACGAAACGGGTGCTGGTGACCGACTGTTCTTTCGGAACCACACGTGTGCATACCAACGCATCAAATCTCACCTTGCACATCGCGCATAAGCTTAAGGCGTCCTCGTAGCTGCCAGACTCTGCCAGGGTCTCCACCTGAAAAAAATACGAAACGAGGCGTTCGCTAGGATATTTTCTTATGAGCATGCACACAAGACACACCAAGACAATCAGCACGAGAGAGGTGGGCGAAAATAACTCTTCAGTCATGACCATGCCAACCAACAGCGGGGCAGCGGAGTGAGAGGGTAAACGTGCTCGCTGCAAAAAACACAAGCCATCAGCGCAAAACAGCCAGCGTCGGCGGTGGGCAAAACGGTAAACAAAAAAAAGAAAACAAAAAAACAGCAGACAGGAACAACAAACCGCGAAATAAACGCCTCTCAAGGAAACTGCTGATGGCACAACCGAAACTTGGAAGGTCCCGGCATGCAGCAGCTGAAACGACGGGAAAGTGTTGTACGCAGCTCAACACGACTTCACCTGAAACTCGATCGGAATGAGCTTGAGAAGGTTCACAGAATTTGCCGTGGCGACGTACGTCAAGTCGCCTCTCCCTCCCCCGATAGGGCATGTCGTCATGCACGTCGCTCCCGGCAGATCAAAGGTCTGCAGCGGGGCTAGGCTTGCAAGGTCGTGGACTTCCACCTGCTCTCATGCAGAGTTTACATGCGTGCACCCAAGCGCACGCAAAGCAAGCAGAGGCAAAGAGCGGTGGGGCGAAGGAAGAAGATCAAGCCCAGCACACACCGCCATTGCGAAGCGGAGCCGTTCATGACATTTTAAATATAGATCGCTTTCGATGGTCTGACAAGAGCTCGTCATGTCGGCGACACATGGAGGCAGAAAGCAGTGCATCCGATCAGCGCTCTATTGTTACCGATAGCAGTCAACTGTTCCCCGTCAAGGTGAACCAGGCAGCCGGCTGCGTACAAAGAAAATAGTACCTACGTCGACCAATTGTTACTTCCCCGTCCATCCCAACATCCACAAATACTTCCCTAATGGAGTGAGGAACCTTACATGGCATGACCCCCTCTGTCTCAAACAAGGCAAAAAAAACACTCCGTCCCCACGAGCACGAAGCCGTTGACAAGTGACACCTGACACACCTGGCGGGGCAAGGCCGCAACGAAGAACGCCGTCGACAAGCACACCGACAGCGGGGGCGCGGTCCACGTCAGCCGCTCTTCGTGACCTCGACCGACCAGATCAACCAGTAGCCCTCGGGAGCCGCTGAAACATGTACGCAAAGGACCGATCCGGGTACCCCATGTACACACAGACAAAGGAATTAGAGGCATCTGCAGACGGTACAAGCTCCGGGGACAGACACAATTGGGTGTGCACCTGTCTCTTCGTAGAGGAATGCAGTTGTGCATCTGTAGCTCATAAATTGTAACTTATGTCGAAACGAAACATGGGAACAAGTTCATGACTATAGACTCGGTTGATTTCTACATTCATCGAACGCCTTTGGGATAATTCATACAACACAAGCAGCCGTACAAAACCATCTGCATGTACGATACGACGACGACCTCTACCACAACCAACACCACTACCATCATTATCACCACCGCCGTCACATGCAACAACAATAACGACAACAAAAAAACAACAAGCGCGGTGTAAATAGTACATCAAACCTTGAAAGGAGTACTCTTGCGCCGCGGGCAGAAGAAGCCGGCACCGGCAAAATCACGCCGTGGCTGGATGACCCCCCGCCCCCCAGACCTGATATGCTGGACGTCCTTAACGGAAGAGGGTGCAAAGACCGAGAATTGTTGTGGAACACTGTCAAACGACGCCAGTGCCGAACGCAAACTGTGCCGCACAGACTCTCATTTTGCATGGAAAGCAGTAGGCACGTAGCCGAAGCATTTGCAGAGCTCTCTACTGCAGGCTGGTGTATACTCATGGGAAGCGTTGTGTCCTCAGCGGGAATAAATAAACGTGTGCGCTCACAGAGCACCGCTGCATGGCCATACAACCACTTCGCTCGGGGAGACCATGCATAGCACGTACTAGCCGCACGGTATCGCAGCTGCATCGCTCGTGAAGGCTAGCCCGTACCAAGGCACAAGCGGACGCCGAGAAACCTGTACTCACATGGAAGAAGCGCTGGTATCCAACTGGTCACGGTCGGACAGTAGCAGAGCAGGGCTGAGCGCGCCCGTGGTAGCGTCCATGACGCTATACTCCTTCCGTAGAGCGAGCACCAGCTATGGTAGATTGAGCGGCAGGGGATAGCGACAAGGAAGAGGGGCCGCGCTGGTCGTGGAAAAAACACCGATACACGCGTTTCGCATATCGGAAACCCTGCCCTCCTCCTCTCCTCCAACAACAACACCTCCCAGCGTCGTTCTTATGGCAACATCGACCGGAAAACATCTTCACCGAACAGCAGTACTGTCCCCGAATGCGACCATGACATCTAAGAGGCGCTCCGACTCTTAGGAAGAACGAGATCAATAGCAGGAGCAATTGGCGCATAGCGCCTGCACATTAGCCGCTGCACCTTGGGTCCGGACGACCCGGCGGGACCGTCGGCATCCTCGGGCACGAGCGCCATACTTCTCGGAGTCTCCGGGAGAGGGAAGTCCCTTCTAGGGGCGAGGCTGACCGCTTGCCATGCCAACACCTGCGTGCCGTACACAAGAAAAACAAGGAAAAGCGGCGGGGAACACCGATGGAGGCAACCGACGATTTACCCTAGGTGAACGTGGCTGAAGAATCCCTAAGGGTCATAGTAGCTTTAGCCCGCCACACAGTGCAGGCAGGTGTTTTCCGCCACACAGTCCAGAAAGAGAGTGAGCACGGCGGTGCCACAGTACGTGGTCCGCCTGCCCACATGCCGGCCAGTGGCATGTGGAAGATTCCATGTATCGTATCCATCAGTGGTTCCTCGAGTGCCCATGGTCCCCGGAATGCTTCTACGGATCGGTTCTTCCTGCACTGTGAATGTGTCCGCATGAACCCTGATCTTGCCATGTTCCCGTCATACACACTACTCATACACACTACGCGATGTACCGTTATCTGGCAACGTGGTGCCTTCGGACTGAAGAAACGCCGTCACCCCCGAAGTAGACCCAAACTAGTTGTAGGGTTAGGATTAGGGTTAGCGCTAGGTCTGGATCGTTTCGAGACTATGTTCCCACCTGAAGGCGCTTCTTGTTGGCCACGAACACCAGTCGTCGCTCCTCGTCCACGCAGAAGCAGGATGCCCCCCTCGTAGAGGGGACGCTTGCTAACGGGCGGTAGGTGTACATGTCGTACGCCGTCAACTGGGCGGGGGTGATGCGGAAGCAGACCGAGGACACAGCGAGGGAAAAAATACGCAGCAAAAGTGAGGTGGATGGGGATTTAGGAAGAACGGTCTAACGCAGGACGTCTTAGCATTAAGGACAGGATGTCGGCGGTCAACGGCGTGATCCCTCGAGTGAGAGGGGGTAGTACGGGCTAGGTGTAGCTCACCTCTTGAAGAAAACTTGACAAAGATCGTCTCGAACCGTCACTTCAAAGATTTCTGTGTACAACGCTTTTTGAGTCACCTATACGGGTACTTCTTTTGTGACGTGTTGCACGTCAATGGTGTCATATATCTTGCATGAAATTGCGCTTAACGTACCCGCGCTTCAAAAGGAGGACTTACGCGTCGCCAACTTTCCCGGACATCATCCGAAAAACGACTGCATAACGTGTACAGGAGTGGCATCAACACAAGCGCATTGTGAGCCCACCTGGCCATCCAGCAACCCCAGCAGCGCTCGCCACGCTTCAACGGCAAGGAGATCAAGCACCGGCCTTCGGTCCGAGCTGAGGCCTTTGCGGAGACTGTCCACCTGCCAGAAAGTGCCACGCGAATAAAAGCGCAACGCAACCACCGCAAGCGGACGAGCTAAGATCGTATCCGCAGTGTCCCCACGCCCGCCTCTCTCATTCGCCCCCCCCCCCGGTGTTTGCCATCGGGGTTGGGTTTTCGTCGCTTGGCAACGACATTGTAAAACAAGCTACTCACTTCGTGAACTCGGCGACCAGGTTATCTTTTTTTTTGGCGGCAACCATAATGGTGGTCGAGTAGATCATGTTGTGCGGGGTGGAGAACCCTCACTCCGCGCAAGGGGGATGATCGCACCACGTTGTGTTAAAATGGTCAAGCACCCTCGAGGCAGTTACACAGTGCTTACAACTGTCTCGGGAAGTGANTACCCGTCATGCGACTCGCCGAACACCTCACGGCGCTTCGCGCTTGGTGATGTGAGAGCCTGGTCTGGGGAGAACCCGGCGTGATCCGTCCCGGCTTTGTAGGGATGCGAAGTCAAAGGTCTAACGACTACGGCATGCACGACTATGAGTACACCCCCCCCCC